TCCTGCTGCATATGAATTATAATTCCAATATCACAGGCCTTCTTCCTGCTCCACACCCCCATAGGGCCTCACAGGGGCTGTGCATGATTCTTACCCAGATGTCTGCCACTCCATCCATTTATGTTCACATAAGAAGCATGTGATACAAACTATTTCTAATTTTTAAGAGAAAAAATCATCCTGGAACTTTCAGTACCTGAATAGTCTTCATTTGGTGTCAAAGGACTTCCCAAAACTAATTGGTACAATACTGTGTCCCAACAAAACAGTTCAGTGCTGCCAATCTTGGAGAGTATAAGATGTACACAATTTCTTAATTACATTATATTTGACAAAAGCTTGTGAAAGAAAAAAAGCACAGAATTCTTAGCACAGTTAACCTAAAGTGAAAATAGTCAATAAACACCATTACTGTATGTTAGAATACATGTGTGGAAATTGCTGATAATTTAGTAAGTTGGTAGTTAGCATATTCTTAACCTCCTTAATACTCTCAGGGTCTTCATGTTAATTTAGTTTTATAGAATTTGCCTTTTCACAGATAAAGCTATGGTAACAAAAAAAAAAAAAAAAAAAAGAACCTTGGGGCCAGCAGGTGGCATGGTGGTTAAGGCACTGGACTCCCATACATGTTCAAAAGTCCAGGAGAAGAATGGAGAAAGGATTATGGCATAGCTATCACCTCCCTGCACCCCCCCACCCCCGGGGCGGATGGTGATTTCTCACTTTCTCTCTCTCTCTGGCTCTCTTCGGTGAACACATGTGCCCTATGGCAAAAAACTTAAAAAATTAAATTAAAAAAAAAAAAAAAAAAGAAAAGAACCTTTATTCTTAGTAGAGGATGGCCTAACTGAACTAGTATAGTTAAAATTGAGAACCACAAATAAAGGCAAAAAAGAACTTTAGTCTCTTCGCCTCCAAACCAAAGTGGAACTGTGAGTCAAATAGATACAATCAAGCTATTCTAATTCAGGGACCTCTCTACTTTCCAATGCAACCCAAGTCATTTTCATACAACTCTAATGATTAAATCTTTTGAAGACTGTGTCAAATACCTGCCTCCCTGAATCTGCCACTGGTTGGCCTCTTTCTGTCTTTTAGACTCATGCAGATCAAGTCTAATTCCGCTTTCCAATGATGGGTAAAGCAAGCCCGTGCAAACAGTGACCCTATAGGCCCTCCTCCTCACTCTCCTGTCCAGAGTGTGTCTTCTCTCTAAACAGTCCCATTTCCTTCATTCGGACCTCATCACAAGGCTTCAAATGCCCTGGGCCTCTTGCTCCCAAGTGGGAGGAACTTTCAAAGTGTGGCCCCAGAAGTGAACACATGCCTAGGCTGTTCTGTGACAACATAAAAGACAATGGGCCTCTCTATCACCTGGCTTTATCAGCTGGGGACTTTAGTTCTGGTAAATACTGCCTGAGGCTGGGAGGACACCATCACACTGCTGACCTAAAAATATAAAGTCGGTAGAGAGTAGTTATAACTACTTAGTTTTTAAAACAGTCTGCAAACCAGTCTGAGAATGGCATTTACACATTTAACGTAGGTATATGTCAAAAATAACAGTGCTCTTAGAACTTTTTTGGTACTTGCAGGAATTTAGAACTTTTAATTTTCATACCTCCAATCATACTACAAACTGGCATTATTTTCTCTCAGACATTACTACCTATTGGTAGTCTGTAAGGCAGTACCTTTAATCATTTAGAAAACCCATCTTAATCATATAGATTCTCAGAGCTGGCAGGTGGCGTGGGGTTGAGGGTGCTGAACTCTCACATGGCCGACTGCAGTTCGAGGCTCGGCTCTGGCAGCTTGCTTTCTCTCTTTGTCTCTCTCTCCCCCATCAAATTAAAATAAAATTTAAAAAAATTATAGATTCTTTAATATAAACTATGATTAATTCACCTAAAACACAGAAATCCTCCCCCTTATTATGTTCCTATTCAGTGAACACTCTTTAACTATATAATTTTTTAACTATAATTTGATTGCTCTCACCTCAAAACAAGAAAAAAAAAAGGAAGACTATAAAGCAGAAAGACCAGCTGAATAAATAATAAAGAATATTCATAATTTTAGCCTTGGCTCTCTGTTACAAAAGCAAAGACTAGTGTTTTCCCTATTTTCTTCACCTGTTAGGTGCTCTCTACCCTGGGAAAGAAGCTATTAGATTGGTTCCTAACTTAAAACTTCAGCTCACAAAATGGACTTAAAGGATATATGCCACACAAACTTCAAAGTCAAGTAAATCCTAATGGCTCTACTCATCATCCCTGGTTTCACACAGCAGAGACCTCAAACACTCATGAGACTCTAAATGCAAGTAATGTTACAACCCCATCTACTGGAGAGGTACCGGTAATTGAGTCCATTTTTAATAACAGACTTTTCCTTATGTGTGAGCCTTGTTAAGAACTATTATCATGGAGGTCCAGAAAATATTTCAAAACAGTAAGAACCTTACCTACATCTTTTCGACCCGGTTTTTCAAAACGTCTGTCACCCCTAGAAAAGAAACAAGAAGTGTCAAACAAGCTTGAGGGTGCAGATCTCCAACCCATGACATCCACTTTCATACTTTAAAAAGCATTTTTTCTTTTTCAAATTAAAAACAAATATATGGGTATTGTCTAATATCTGGAAAAGATAGTAAAACACAAAGATAAAAACAGAAATATCTTCCACTTCACCTACCAAAAAACTACTTGCTCCTGATCCATGATTTTTTTAGATACACACTGTGCAGTTTTATATACTGATTTTAAATGTTTTTCCACATCATTAAATATTTCCAAAACTATCCTTAACTTTGTTACACAGCAGTCCATGTAGAAGGGGTTACCACATATAATGAAAAAAATTACACGTGGATTTCAGAAAATTTTTGTACCTAAATAAACAAATACTTTAATTCCATTTCTCCACAAACATTTTTTTTTTCAAGAGAGAATTTTGCTATAGGGCACATGTGCTCAAAAGAGAGACAGAAAGTGATAAATCACCACCAGTGGGGATGGCCATGCTGCAATCCCTTCTCCTCCATCCTCCTCTTGGGGTTTTGGGCACGCACACACATGCGCCAGCATGAGTTTTAAGCCGCCAGGTCCTGGACTTAAACTGTGGTCGGCCATGTGCGAGTCCAACAACGTAACCATGACACCATTTGCTGGTCCCATTCCACAAACTTTTTAAAGTCCCCTTGTATTAATGTTTGGCTTGTTTTTCATTATTTTATAAAAATCACAGTGAACACCCTCAAACATATTTCTTTGTGAGAGTACCCTTGCTCATCTTGACTGACTTCATATAAAGACAAAAACAATATGGAGATCCTTTTACTAGTATCAACAAAAAATAAAATGGCAATGCTTCTCATTGAACGCTCATCAAACAAAAAAATCAAATTAACTATTTATACCGGCATTAACATATTAAGGTACATATGCGTCTTCCTTTAAGTAAGGATTGTTTTAAAATTTCTAACATACTCAAAGATTAATAGCATTTTTCAAAAAAGCAAATCTCTGAAACTACAAAAAGAGGCTTCCTCTCTACAGAAAGCCGAAAACAACTTTGAGTCTTATATCAAGAACTCTCTATGCCCAGGTCTGGATTATTTAATTACCTTTCCTCCCAGCTTTGCGATCTATGCATTTCCCTGCCACCTCCTCGACCAAACACACCCTCTACTTCATCAAAACTTCTTTGGTAGAAACCACATTCACCTCTGCCTCTGCCTGAAAATAAGAAAAAGGGGAAAGTAATAGTCGGGTGTTAATATCTGACACATATTCAACACCTAGAATTAATCTGTGAAGTTCTGTCTCTATACAAAGCAGATTGCTACAATTAAACATGCAGCGAGCTCTGATGGATCCCTAGGAGGTTGAAAGAACAGTTAAAACCCTAATAAGCATCCCAGTCTTGAACAAGAAACATGCCAACATTAAGACCCTTAATGAAAAGTTTATAATAAAATTTTAATAAGTTAATAAAGTATTACTGTAAATTAAAACTTTTGATTATTTTCAATGAAAATGGAAGAAATATTGATTTGGAGTGTTTGTGAAGAGAGGAGCTAAAGTAAAAAAGAAAAGCACAAATGTTTAAATTATCTAATCCTAAAGAAAGGATAACTTAATGGGTCAACTCTAAAACCATCAATTTCAAGAAGTCACTCCTTATAGAATATTCCACAGCAACAATGGCACTCTTTATCATCTACTCAAATCTTGAGGTAAGAAAAGTATCAGGACTGAGTTTGAGCCATGGTGCTGGGAAGAATGTATGAGTATAGGATTCAGAGGCCCCGGTGGTTCAAGTGTAAACTGGCCTTAACTGGAGTCAATTCTGTTAGATCGACATTTCAACGATTCTATGCAGAATTTAGCCTAACAGAAATACCTGCAAAAATATGCCAAGTATGTAGGAAGATGTTTTAGGAACACCTAATCAATAAAGGATTGAATAAATATTGGATTGTCAGAAAGTCATGACACATTTTTGCATAGAAAAATAGGTCATGACTTTTCTGATCCAATAAATTCTACTATGAAGCCACAGAAGATAAAGTACTGACATTAACAGAAATCTACATTACACTCTTGAATGACAAAAGCATACTACAGAACAATGTATGTAAAAATTATCCCACATATATAAATGATACTGGCTGCAGGGTCCAGGACTTGAACTGCGCAGCCTGCTTTGCTGGACCCATCTGCCTTAACAACACACCACCTGACTGGCCCAACCAGTGCTAGTTTTAGCTTGCAGAAAATATTTTGCATTGTTCTGCTTATTTTTCTGGTGACCTGAAGTTTTCTTTTTATATTCATATGTTTCTGGATTAAAACATCTTCAGGGTGTATACTAGCTTTCCTGGGAAGATTGTTCTCCAAAAAGAGTGGGGACTTTTCCCTCCACCCTGAAATTGCAGGAATACCATAGTGTTATTAACAGTTTATTTTATTAGTTTAGGATCTTAAATAGAATATATACATTTATGAAGGGGAAAGTTACTTAAACTGGTCAGGAAGACTGTGCATCCAACTGCAGAGTCTGGATGCAGAAGACAGTACACATGTTCAATTCTATATTTAATGTACATTTTTCCCAACTAATATGCACATCTGTATCCAATACACAGATGAGAAAATTGGACAAAGGGCCTGAGAACGTATTTATAATTAGATAAAAACCTTTACCAACATCCCTAGTTCAACAACTTTCTCCACAGTGCAAAACAACCCAAAAAACAATGACGGATCTTGAACAAAAGGATGAACATATTACAAAACTAAATACAATCAAGTTAAAGAATTACTTCAAATATTGGGACCAGCAGCTGGTGTAATGGCTATGTTGCTGGACTTACACATGGTCCACTGCAGTTCGAGTCCCAGACCCGGTGGCTTAAAACTCACGCCGGGCGCGTGTGCATGCATGCCCAAGATCCTGAGAGGAGAATGGAGAAGAAGGGATTGCGGCATGGCCATCCCCCATCCCCCCAGGGGGATGGGGAGGGTGACTTCTCGCTTTCTGTCTCTCTGTCTGGCGAGTGCACGTGTCCTGTAGCCAAAAAAAAAAAAAAAAAGAAACCCTCTCAAAAAAATTACTTTAAATATCCATGTAGTATTTCTATTTATTGATTATAAGAACTGACTCAGTATACAGTTGTACTTTTATAAGACTATATTATGAAATACCAAAATGTATCACCCACATATAATATTCAGAATTGTATGAGGAAAGCTTAGAAACAATGGATAGACTCTTGACTACTCCTAGTACCTATTTCTCCCTCTGTAAAATGGAAGTGAGGACCAATGTTCAACTGTAATAACGCTAAAGTTACCTCACAGTTGTGTCTATTTCACTGTAAGTTTAAGACCAGTTTAAGTAACTTTCCCCTTCATAAATGTATATATTCTATTTAAGATCCTAAACTAATAAAATAAACTGTTAATAACACTATGGTATTCCTGCAATTTCAGGGTGGAGGGAAAAGTCCCCACTCTTTTTGGAGAACAATCTTCCCAGGAAAGCTAGTATACACCCTGAAGATGTTTTAATCCAGAAACATATGAATATAAAAAGAAAACTTCAGGTCACCAGAAAAATAAGCAGAACAATGCAAAATATTTTCTGCAAGCTAAAACTAGCACTGATTGGGCCAGTCAGGTGTGTGTTGTTAAGGCAGATGAGTCCAGCAAAGCAGGCTGCGCAGTTCAAATCCTGGACCCTGCAGTCAGGCATGTGTATGTGTGCATACGTGCCACAAATCCTAAAACAAGAATGGAGAAGAAGGGATTGTGCATGGTCATTCCTCCTGGAGGGTGCTTTCTCATTTTCCCTCTCTTTTTCTGTCTGTCTCTCTCCTGTAAGCGCTTGCACCCTATAGCAAACCTTTAAAAAATCTAGCACTGGCAACAAGTATGATTTCTGAGCTTAAAGCTTTATGTTGGGGTACATAAGAACAATCAGATTCTAGAGCTTCCAGATTGTAAAATTTCAATAATCTATAAATGTAGTTTCCTTACAAGAATAAAGAGTTAAATATAACATGATGAATGTTAATAAAGGTAAATTTAAAGGGCTGTCCTATTGTCTAAGATTTCACCCTATTATTTTCAGGAATTAAAATATACTTCCTTTAAATGATGACAACAGCAGTTGATGGTTGTGTGGATTTACTTTATTTTTAAACATTCCAACCATCCTAAAATAGAAAGATAACAATTTTATATTGTTCCTTCCATCCGTTTGTAAATTTTACTACTTCATGATATTTAGAAGTGTGAAAGTTAGTTAAGTTCCACATCAAGATTTTCAAGTTGAAAAAAGGCAAGATAATGTTATGTTATAATGTTATCTAATGTTAACTCTACCCAGACAAAGAAAAGCCACAATAATTATTTAATCAACAAGTTAAAATTAGTAAGTAAAAAATACAAAACTACAGATTGTAACTGCAACCTTGTGTTATAAAATGGGCTTCGGAAATCATTACAAAGAACCACAGGTTGTTATGACAATGGCATTATTATTTCTCACCATGCCAGTTCATTCACTTGACCAGTTTCATGCCATTCTTTCACATTAGTGTGTTCACTGCGTCCCTACTTCCTGAGTGTTCCACGGCACCTATCTTCATACATAAGCTATTTCAATTCTGAATGTCAGAATTCTATTCTATGTGATAACTCTTCACATTGAAGAAATCAGAAAGCAGGGATATATTCATCATCTTGTTTCTCAACTAGTACTTTTTTTAAGGCCTGTTTACAGTGCATAATCAGTGTGGTTCACACTTGTTGACTAAGAAGATCTAGAACAAGTGTACCTTCCCTCCTGGTGGCCAGTCCACAGGAGGAAGACACAGGGAATGTCCAAGTATAGCCTGAGTCATCTTGAAAACACTATCACACCAAAGTGCAGGATCTTAGACAAATTATGAGCCAGTGGAACCAAACTGGGTGTGCACACCTGAACTATCTGGAAATTTTGAAGCACAAGCATGCCTACATCTTACCACTCGAAATTCTGTTGTTGAAGAAGTTCCTCTAAGTTTTACAAGTGAGTCTAACTCCTCATTTAAAATCCACTGTTTTAGAGATGGACAAATACATTCAGAAGAAAAAAGAAACCACTTAGGCTCTAGTGTACCTGACACAAGTGAAGAGCTGTAGTTAGCTTCTTTCATTATTCACAAAATCTGCATCCCCACATTCTGAATGGACTACTGGAAGAAACCACCTTCCAGGAATGCGCAATTAAATACATTCTCTATGAATATTATGTATCCTCTATTCATAAAGCACAATCTTAAGAAAGAGGAATTTAGGCGCCAGCATTTGGTGTTGTGGTTAAGGGGATGAACTCCTATATAGCCATCTGCAGGTCAAATCTCGGACTCAGCAGCTTAAAAATCACACCAGCATATGTGTGTGCATGCCCAAAATCCCAGGAGGAGAAGGGACTGTGGCATGGCCATGGGGGTATTTCTCACTTTTCTTCTCCCTGTTTCTGTCTCTCCCTCTGCCACCTTATGGTAAAAAAAAAAAAATTTTTTTTTTAAAAATTCAGATACTCCAAGCTCATGACCATGCCAATCTCCGTGGTGTCACTGCAGACACCCAATTCCCCCATCTCTAAAGCAGCTCTTAGAGCAAATTATGAGGTATGCTTAGACAACCACTCTGCTCTAACCAATTCAGATTTAAATGCTCAATCAAATACTTACATTACAAATATCAAGAATGCCTTCATACAGCAGAAAACCACTGAACCCAAAATAGGGAGCAGGTAAAAAAGAAACAAGTAATACCAAAATAAGAATTTTTTTCCTAAGAAAAGACATAAGCCTATAAAACTACAGGTTAAATAAATAAGTGATGCCAGTCGTTGGTTGTTCTATCCCCTAAAGGTCCTAGCACTCATGAGACAGTTTTTGCTAAAGCCCTGGTCTGGCTGGGGACACTCTTGGCACATGGTCCATGGACAGAAACATTGTGTCTCAGAGGCCTGCAGGCACTTCCTGTTGCTCCAGCACTCAAGACACTCCAGGAAGCTCTGGCTGACCAAGTAGAGGCTCCCTGGGGACAACAAACATGTGTAACAATCTGCCAGAGTTAACAGGGACTGTCTCGACTTCCACACACAAATCCCTACAGCTAGAATTCTGCTCCAAATCAGGGGTTGTGGAGCAGATACCTCGAGAAATGGTTCAGAAAATAAATCTTCAGGACATTTAGAATGCAGTTAATGTCAAAAGGCATTTTTTTAAAACTCAGCATTAAAATATTTTAAAATAATTTCCCTATCCTACTCCATTATTACTTGTTCACATGAAAGCTCACCTCTCCCTCTTGAAGAACTTCGACCTCTAGGAGCCCCCACCACTGTTCCTCCTCCTCCTCGTCCTGTCAATCGCAGGACAGCGGCACTATTTACAGACATGGAAAAGTTTCTCTGCCAAAAAAAAAGAAAAAGAAGAAAAACAGAAAAAGAAAGAAAAATGGATAAAACAGATAAAACTACATGTTGCTTCTTTCCACCTCCCGCTACATCTATAAAACGGCACCTACTTATGACTGACAATGGGAAACCATAACTATACGATGTACAAAGATAATCCAAAACCTGGTTTTACCTGACAATTTCAAATTAACATTTCAGACTGATAAAACTCACAACCAATGCCTTACTCAAGGTTTGGTAAGGAAATATTAAACATGCAAATTAAATGCTATATGCATCCAGGAACCATTAAGATAAAAATACATTGGAATAAAGATAGAAAACTTTATAAAAGAGATCTAGTTTGAAAGGGCCCGTTATGCCTTTAACTAGTGAAAAATGGGGGAAAAAAAAGTCTGATGAAGAAAAGGTCATGATAAAGAGGAAAATTATTATCTTGCCTCATTCTGTTCACCAATATGAATTAGCAACTCCAAGTAGTATTAAACAGAATAAGAGGGGCCACACAATACAAAAGAGCAACCACCTGAATAATCACTTAATGGGAAACGAGAGGGCTGCTCGAGAACAGATCCCAATCACTCGTCATTGCGCTTGCGCCCAGGCCAAGTGCTGTGCAAGAGCAGTGTGGGCATCCACACAGGAAGGCGGGAGGTCTGAGGGCCAAAAGTATATCTAGTTGACAAGTCTAGATAAAGGAATAATTGGGTGGAGGAAAAGTAAAGCAAAAATTATGAAAACCTTGGGAAATGATCCATAAAATATAAAAATCTAGGCTGCCCCTTGGCCTGGTGGTTAAGGGAGCCAATTCTCACATGGCTAACTGCACAGTTCAAGTCCCAGACCCAGCAGCTTAAGCAACATGCTGAGTGCGTGCGTGCGTGCATATGTCCAAAATCCCAAATGGAAGGAAAGTGGAAGAAGGGATTGTGACATGACGATGCTGCATGCATGGTCCATTCTCTCTGGTGAGTGCACATGCCTTCTTGCATATGTATACACACATGAACACTCGCACACACATGCACACATTCACATGCACACATACACTTCTATTTGAGCATTTAAAAGCGAATTCTTTTAATTAGGATTTTTTTGTTATTGTTCTTTGCCAGAGGCTATACGTGCTCACCATAGAGAGATCGAAAGACACAGAGGGGGAGAAGCACTCCCCAATAGGGCATGGTTGTGCTGCAATCCCTTCTCCATCTCTCTATCCTGCTGAGATCTTTGGATACGCATTTGCATGAGCCCTTCCTGTTTTTCAAGCCTCTGTTTTTCAAGCCATTGGGCCAGGCCTCAAACCACCTCAGTCATGTGGGATCTGGCTCCTTTAACCACTAGGCCAGAGGGCCAGCCCCAATAGAGTTTTAAAACTGGAGACATGTTGGGGACCAGCAGTTAGCTAATGGCTATGTCGCTGGACTCCCACGTAGTCAACCGTGATTAGAGTCCCGGACCCAGTGGCTTAAACTCACGCTGGGCGCATGTGCATTCGTGCCCAAGATCCTGAGAAGAGAATGGAGAAGAAGGGATTGCGGCATGGCCATCCCCCCTGGGGGATGATTTCTTGCTTTCTGTCTCTCTGTCTCTCTCTGTCTGGCGAGCGCACGCACCCTATAGCAAAAACCTCTCCAAAAAAAGAAAAAAAAAAAAAAAAAAAACTGGAAACAAGTATATCCTGACTTAAGTGCCTTTTGTAGACCTGGAACCCAACAAGCATTTTTACAAAAGTGCAGATATGTGGTACACCAAAAAAAATAATGCACACTAGGCATCCCATAGCCAAGGGCCCTGCTGCCACAAGTTGTAAGGTGCCACTGCACAAGACTGGGGCCACACAGGAGGCCAAGGTCCGGATCCTGGTCCAACCTAACAAAGGCCAGTGCAGGAGCACATGCCTAGAATCCTAGCTAACTGGGAGGCTGGGGCAGAGAATCATAACTGTAGCACCTTCTCAAAAAATACCTCTCTCTCTCTGGCCCTCTTTCTCCTATACACAAGCCTGAATGTCCTCACTCTCTGATTAAGAAAAAAAAAAAAAAAAAAAACTAGGTGAAAACAAGGAGCCAACAGATGGCACAGCAGTTAAAGCACTGGACTCTGACATGGCCGACTATGGTTTGAGCTCTGAACCCAACAGTTTGACAATCACACCAGGCATGTGTGCCCAAAATCCCAGGAGAAGAATGGAGAAGGGAATGCTGTATGGCCATCCCCATGGGGGCAGGGAGGGAGAGTTTCTCACTTTCCCTCTTACTGTCTCTCTCTAGCAAGCATACACACCCTATGGCAAAAACCTAAAAAGTAAAAAAATAAAAAAATAAAGTAAAAACGAATTCTCAAATTCAACTAACATTTTAGTCCAAAATGATTTACTACTGTGATTCAAAACCAACTAAAATATGGCTTCTACATTCTCTGTTAAATAAATCAATGTAGAGGTCAGCAAGTGACATGGTAGTTAAGGGAGCTGGACTCCCACATGGCCAACCATGGTTTGAGTCCAGACCTGGTGGCTCATGCTCTCGCTCGCTCTCTCTCTCTCTCTCTCTCTCAGTCCCTCTCTGGTCAAATTAAAATAGTTAAATAAAACAAATCTTAAAAAAAAAAATGTCAATATATAATTGGTCAAAACTTGCGCCAGCGTGTGGTACAGTGGTAAAGGTGGCTGGATCTGAGCAGTTCAATCCTAGGCTCTGTGGTTTGAGAAATATGCCAGGCACATGTGCGTGTCTTTTCTCCAGAAAGGAGGAAGGAATAACCATTCCCTAGGTGAGGTTGCAGAGAAAGCCCATGGGATGGTGGTTAAAATGGCTGGGTCCCACATGGGCAACCATGTGGTCAAGACCCTGGTAACTTGAAAATGACACTGAGTACACATGTACCCATGACTAAAATACTGGCAGGAGGGAGAAAGAGAAGAAGGGGCTGGGGGATTGCGACATGAGCATGCCCCACGGTACCTTCACACTTTCTCTCTCTCTCTTTCTCTCTCTTTGGAGAGTACATGCACCCTGTAGCAGAATTTTTTTTTTGAATTTTTTAATTTAAAAAAACGACTTTTTATATTTCATTTCTTTATTTAATACCGGAGTCATTTTCTCCTTGTTTGGACAACCTATCTAGGTAAATTTAAGAAACCTTATTAATGTAAATAAAGTTGGTTTCACTGAATTTTATAGGTATATAATCATATAAATAAGTAACATCAAAACTAAAGATTTAACATTTAATGGAGAACTAAAAACTAGAGGAAGAGGGGCCAGCAGGTGGAGTGGTGATTAAGGCACTGAAATCCCATGTAGCCTACTGTAGTTTGAGTCCCAGACCTGGCAGCTTGAAAATCATGTTGGGTGTGTGTGTGTGTGCTTGCCCAAAATCGCAAAAGGAGAACAGAGAAGAAGGGATTGCGGCATGGCAATTCCCCCCGGGGGTGATTTCTCTCTTCTCCTGTCTTTGTCTCCAGTGAACACATGAGCCCCTACGGTAAAAAATATAAAAAAATTTAAAAAATAAAAAACTAGAGTAAGACACCAACTCAAAATTTACTTGAAACTGTATTTTTTTTTTTTTTAAGTTTTGCTAATGGGTATGTGTACTTACTAGAGAGAAACAGAGAGAAAAGGAAAGTGAGAAATCACCCCCATGGGGGAAAATGGCCATGCCACTATCCCTTCTCCTATTATCTTGGGATCGCCGGCACACTCCTAAATGAGCTCGGTACGTTCCTCACGCCACCAGGTCTGGGAATTAAATCACATAGCTGTCCACATGGATTCCAGCTGCATTAACCACCGTGCACTGGCTGGCCCCAAACTGTATTTTAATGAAGTATGTTAGTAAAAGACAACTGGCTGGGCCAGCAGGTGGCACGGAGATGAAGGCAGCTGGATCCCAAAATCCCAAGAGGAGAACGGAGAAGGGAATGCAGCACAGCTATCCTCCCTGGGGAGTGATTTCTCACTTTCCCCCTCTCTGTCTGTCTCTGTCTCTCTCAGGCAAACACATGTGCCATATAGCAAAGAACAAAAAGACAACTGGCTAACATATATACGTTAACTTACCTTTAACACAGAATAACAGGTAAGTGTTAAATAATACTTCTGGGCATTATCATCATTAATCAAGCCTATGACGTCCCCAAATTTAGATTAATATATCCTAATATTGAAAAAACAGAGGTTAGAGCTAACTGAATTATTTATGCCAGGAGCCTATGTAGCTAACCACCCCATTACCAAACGACGACAGGTAACAGTCAGACACCTGTCGGTGAGTGTAAGGAACAAGTAACAGTCAGACACCTGTCCGTGAGTGTAAGGAACATTTAACAGTCAGACACCTGTCCGTGAGTGTAAGGAACAAGTAACAGTCAGACACCTGTCCGTGAGTGTAAGGAACAGGTAACAGTCAGACACCTGTCCGTGAGTGTAAGGAACATTTAACAGTCAGACACCTGTCGGTGAGTGTAAGGAACAGGTAAGTCAGACACCTGTCGGTGAGTGTAAGGAACAAGTAACAGTCAGACACCTGTCGGTGAGTGTAAGGAACAAGTAACAGTCAGACACCTGTCCGTGAGTGTAAGGAACAGGTAACAGCCAGACACCTGTCCGTGAGTGTAAGGAACATTTAACAGTCAGACACCTGTCGGTGAGTGTAAGGAACAAGTAACAGTCAGACACCTGTCGGTGAGTGTAAGGAACAAGTAACAGTCAGACACCTGTCCGTGAGTGTAAGGAACAAGTAACAGTCAGACACCTGTCCGTGAGTGTAAGGAACAGGTAACAGTCAGACACCTGTCCGTGAGTGTAAGGAACATTTAACAGTCAGACACCTGTCGGTGAGTGTAAGGAACAAGTAACAGTCAGACACCTGTCCGTGAGTGTAAGGAACAAGTAACAGTCAGACACCTGTCCGTGAGTGTAAGGAACAGGTAACAGTCAGACACCTGTCCGTGAGTGTAAGGAACA